ACAAATATGGGATGCTACTGCAATAATTCAGTAGGAGATGAGAGTGGCTTGGATGAGAGGAATGGCAGAGAAGGGGGTGACCTTTGGAACTGGGGTATGTTTTAAAAGTAGAACTGACAGGCTGTGCTGATAGGCTGAATGTGGCACGGGAGAAGAAAAGAGGTCAGTGATGACACCAAGCATTCTGGCCTGAGCCAATGGTGGTAACATTTCTTGAAATGGGAAAGATTGGGGGAGAAACAGGTTTTGGGAATGGGAGGAATAGATTCTCTTTGGCCATATTAAAATTGAGATGCCTCTTAGACATCCTCATAAAATGTTGTGTAAATCATTGGATCTACAGTGCAATTCTGGAGTGTAGGAAAGAGGCTGGGGGCTGAGATACACATTTGGGAGTCATTAGAATATAGATGGTATGGACATGTAGCATAATAAAGCTGGATGATAGAGCCGCGCTTGGATATGTCACCTAGAGAGTGATTATTGATAGAGAATAGGTTGGAGCACTAAGGTAATCCAGCATTTAGAAGTCAGAAAGAAGAGGCTGGTATCCAAGGAGTAGAGAGTGAGGGGGAAATCTGGATGAGGGCTTTTATAAGGTCAAAGGAAGATTACTTTTTAAAGAGGGAAAATAATACATTATGTTTGTGCTCTGTAGGAGTGATCAAATAGGAAAGAAGAATCTGGTAGTGCTGGAAAGGGGATAATTTCAGTGTAGTCTTTTAGTAGTTGAGAATGGAATCTTATTTTACACTAAAAGTTCTTTATGTTATAAGTTGACACTACAGGCACCTTCTTCCTCTATGTTTATATTCCATGGTCAATGCCTACATAGCCTTAGGGTGCTTTTGACTGCAAGTCAGAAAAGTCAAGAAAGCCCGAGTCAAGCTTGTGTAAACAATTAATAGGCTTATATCCTCTGAAAAGTCCAGGGGTAGTGATAACATCAGGCAAGGCTTGATCCAGCAGCTTGGTGACTTAGTTTCTTTCCATAGCTCTGCATTGCTCTCCAATGTGTCAGCTCCAGTTAAGGTTGTTCCCTTTATGGTCTCAAGATAACTACCAGAAGCTCTTGGGGCTACATTTCTTCATTATGCTCATGAAGAGAGTACTCCAATGTTCCCAGAAAAGCCCTGAGATTCACTCTTCCTAGACCAGGTTAGGTCATGTGCCCACCCCTAAACCAATTTCTGCAGCCTCGAGAAAGGAATCTGCTGAATGGCAACGCCAGACGCCCAGCTGAAAAGCATGGGCTATGCGAAAGGAGAACTAGCCTCCACTCTACATCTAAATGAAGGTCATGTTGTAAGAGCAGTAAACCTTCTCAGAGAACTACTGGGGAAGAAAAACACATGCTAAATGCACATGTCCTAAAACAGGTAAAAACTGCATTTGGGAATGAGTTTATTTACTATTAGATGGATAGAGATCATTGCTCCTCTGTTTATTGAAGAGACAAGTACTTAGATTATAGGCCATGAGCTGAACTAAGGTAAAGTGTCTTTGGTTTCCATAAGTATTAGTTTCTTATACATAAGTCAGACTTGGCCAATAATTTAAGATGGTAAAAAAAATCTCTCTTTAAAGCATGACAGTTTGGTAACAATTAGATCTGTGGGATCATTCAAGGGCCAGAGGGCGGCGGTTTCTGGGTAGGAGCCAACGATTGAAGGTGCGGTGTGGGTGTCGGCAGAGCCGTCTCGCCTCGGGGTGGAGGGCGCGGCAGCCCAGGCAGACTTGACGTGAGTGTGGGAGCCTCCTGCACCCTCGGCGCGGCCTCATTCCCGTCTGCAAAGGGTTCCTTCCCTAGGAACAGCAGGCACCGCTCCCTGCTCCTCAGACCTGCTCTCACTCTGCCAGTTCTTTCTTTAGTGGGACCATTAAAATTCCTTAGATTATGAGGCCTCGGGGTTGCATAACGCTGCACTGATTCCTGGCCGGGAAAACGCAGCCCGATGGAAAAGCCAGGTCAGACGCCAGCTCTGGGGGCTTGTCCTGCCCTCCTGCGGCGCTCGGCTCTTTGCCACGTGAGCAGGAATTCAAGATAACGGCCAAAGCACACTTCTTTCAGGAGACACCCTCTCTTCCATTGATTCTGCTGCAAAAGCAGCCCCCCTTTTCCGGCACAACACAACACACCGTGTACCGACTCATCCCCTCCAGCATCAACAAGGATCGAGTATGGCAAACCAGCCCACAAAACCAGCTCGATCAAACAACCGCTGGTCTGCTTCCCTTAACTTCTCCAAAACGTCTACCTTTTTTTTCTTCTTCTCCTCTCCTCTCCTCTCCTCTCCTCTCCTCTCCTCTCCTCTCCTCCCCTCCCCTC